TTTACCTATTACGAAAAAATTTTTGAATCCTTATAAAAGTCAAATAATTATCACGGAAGGTTATATTGATAAAATTAAATGCAATCTGGTGTTTGAAAATTCATGCATTTATGTTACGGTACCAAAACCAAACCCAGTACCAGAAAATATCAGATTCGTAAAGGAATTTATCGACCCTAAACGATTATAGGCGCTATTTTTCATAAATTATGAATTAGCAAAACCCTCAGCCACAATGTCCACACATTTAGACACAACCACATTTCCAATGCTTCATTTAAATTTGTATTTTGTCCAAACGTGCCCTTGGAGATAAAGAACAAGCAAATTCTATACTCTATTGGGTACCTTAGTCTGAGAGTAAAGGTAAATATCTTAATTAAGACGCCTAATCTAATTAGTTTATATCGTTATATCCGGTAGGTTTAACCTGAATGAGTTTTCTCTATGAATATAATATTTTTGGCATGACTTTGGATGTCAGCGCCACTTTTATTTCACTTGGAAATATTCTACACCAAACATGCCTAAAGCAAACCGCAAAAACTATAGACGTGCAGCAGACACACAGCAATCATTAAATCTGTTGTAAGCTATAACCAAGATAATTTGTTAAATGTAGAAAATTTATCACCTAAATCAAACTCAACAAATAGGTCTAGACTTGAAGACAAATATACATATTAATCATTCGACAAGTAAAGATATTTAAGCAAATTTTCTGAAGGCGATGTTGAGAATTGCGACTCTCAGTCATTTACAGAAAGCTAATCTAACTGATTTAATATTAATGGTGCTGTGAGGGAAATATTTTGTTATGGAATTGAGTTTGAATGTATATTTTTCTAGGTAAACCACCAAGTAAAAGTTAGCGGAAGTACGGCATATGAGTGTACTAAAACTAAACTAATTTAATAACAAATAACTCAAAAATATGTCTTTTTTTGATCCCGAACAAAATCTGCTCTCCGCCAGTTTAAGTTTTGGGACATATTGAATAGTAAGTTGATTATTTTTTCAGTCATTTTGTAACTGTAGAGTGTAGTTGCAATCAATTTTCTAAAACCCTGATTTAAATCTTCTAATATTGCTCAATTATGCAACTTGCAATACTTCTGCTGATACTAAGCTTTAAGCTTTATTACGTTTTTAGCTGCAGCAGTTCGTCAAAATTCTGAGGTCACGACAAAAATGACCGAATAAAACGTTCAGAATTGGTTGAGGCGAGCGAATGAGCCTAAAATATGAACGGAACTCAAAAAACTATTTTTTTTATTGCTTATGTTTCTGGTTTTCCGTACATAAAATTATTTTGTATTTAAGTTATTTTGTTTTATTTAGATAATATTTGTAATAAATTTAGAGTTATTGTTATGTTTAAGTTCTTAATGTCTAGTTTAGTGTAAATATTCCAATGGACCTGGCACCATGTGTTAGTTTGACCTCTACACTTAAAACCTCTTATGTCTGCACTTAAATCCATTGTAAATAAATTAAATTTATCACCATCGGATAGATTATTCAGAAGTTATACAAATCATACTATAAAATGTCTAGAAGAAATTGCATTAACTGTCACATATGGCACTTTAAACACTAGTAATTAAATACGTACATTGTGGATGATACGTACATTGATTCATTATTTGGACGTGAATGGATTTATGCATTTTCAAAATATATCGACTGGTCATCCATGTTTGCTCCTGCAGAAAATACCAATACAATTCTTACAACTTTTCCGACGATTTCTAATTCAGAAAAAGCCATACTGGACCAACTTCTTCGAAAATGTGATGAAAAATTCAGTGATGGACCAGAAAAGTTAAAAAGACCTCCAGCAACTATGCACTTTAAGCCAGGAACACCGGTTTTTGCTCGAGCCAGAGAGATTCCCCAAGCATTATACTTATTGTATATAATATAAAATAAAATGAAAAAAACTTATCTTCTGGGTACTATGGACGAGTGGAATCATCAAGATGGGCTTCAACCACACATATTGTCACAAAGTTGTATATACTTTCCTGACTGTGTTTCAATTCCAGCATTTGAAGAAATTTATGCCAAGGCTTAAAGCAGCAACAACGCTACATATAAAAACTGATGACGGTGAAAAAATACACCGAAACGTATTTTGATTGATAAATAGAGACAATAAATGACTGAAACCCAGTAATGAATTTGATTTGGAATTGTCACAAAGAAAAATGGGGACATTAGCATAACTGGAATTTATAAACCAACATTAAATCCTAGGCTCATTATTGATGAACACCCTATTCCAAGAAATAAATATTTATTCAACAAGATGAGGGAGTCAACCATGTTTTGTCATTTGGACATTACAGATGCATATATACACATGAGTGTTGATGAAGGGTTTGCTGAAGCTTTAAAACTAAATACACTTGGTCATGGTTTAATACGTCCAAGAAGAGCAGTATATAGTTGTGCTAATATTCCGGCTAAATGGCAACGTGTTTAATTCAAGATTGACTGAGATGACTTAGTTTTTGCAGATACTTTTACTAATCTAATAACATCACTCGAAAGAGTATTAAGAAAACTTAATGAAAGTGGAATCAAAGTGAATAAGAAAAAGTGCATTTTTACTGCTTCACCAGTAGAATTTCTGGGTCATAAGCTTGATTAACAAAGTATTCACAAATCAGATAAACACATTACATCAGTTCGAGATGCTCCCAAACCAATGTCTCACGATGAATTAGAACTTTTCTTAGGAAAAACGACATATTATAATGGATGTATTCCAAACTTAGCTACCGTAAGTAGGCCTCTCAGATATATTCGTTCGACACCTGAAGGAGAACAAGCATATACCAATCTAAAACAGATTCTAATTTCACCTCAAGTTCTTACAACTTATGATCCAGCAAAGAAGCTAATATTAGCAACAGACGCTAGTAAAGTGGGACTTGGTGCCGTATGGAACTGAACGTCCAATTGCATATGAAGACCACAGGGCAACAACGTCTTAAGTCACAATTTTTAGGAAAATGAGTTTAATGCTGCAAACTAGACCTCTTCGTCTATATAATGCTTCCATAAATCGAAACATGGGAAGAATGTGTCGAGTCAACTTACTTACTATAACAACTTAAATAACTTTCATTATGTGAATCATCACTCAACAAGGAGCTTAAATAACTTCGACCTGCGTCTTCCCAAAGCATACAAAAATTTTCGGGGGAGTAAATAGCCACGGAAGTCAATGCTACACAAGTGAATGCAACATATAGAACTTCGAAGGCATTAAAGAGGTTTAATAAAAACCGAAAACAGGAAGTTCGAAAATTAGTAGCAGAAGAAAAAAGCAGGTTTTTCAAACCTTGCAAGATTTAAAAAAAGATGCGTGCCATGATATAATTGTTTCTGTCATGAATCAAAAAACAGTTTATGGACTTGAAAATGAGTTTGATGGTGGTGTTGAACCAATAATGGAAGTAAATATAATATTTTGTTGTAATCTTAATACGTAGTTAGAGTCAAGCAAAACTTAAATCCTACGTTTTGAAATAAACGAGTTGCCAAAGATACTTGGTACAATGGTTCTTTTTCTGGAGCCGAGTAATGAAGAAATCAAGCTCAATTGTCCCTTTGGAAATATTGAAGAAAATGCCTTAGGTAATCATGACATGGATTTTTACAAGCCGCTATTGTGCGTGACAATATAAATGTATGACATTATATGTAATGTATGATATTGTAAATGACAGCTGTAAGCATTCCTTTGGCATTTGATTGTATAAAAAATGACGACTTTCGTCATGGCAACGAAGAGTTACATAATTTTACACAAAATTACAGTTATTTTTAAAACGAAATCAGACAAAGTTATCAAAAAAGGGTTTGCCATTTGAAAAAATTGATTTTGGGCAATTTTCCCAACTGTATTTTGAACACTTTGTATTAATAGATTTTAAAATATTGTCGAAATTCGATTAAAGTAAGTCTCGTTCAACAATAAATGCGACTCCAATTACGAAGCACAAATTTCCAAAATTCTAAATTTTCCATTCTTTTCCAACCTTCCGCTGATTGATATTCGTTCGATCTAAATCTACAGTGTTTCCTTAGTAAATTGAGCATTCGCTTCTTTATTTACAATGAGTGAATATTATCTCGAACCATTTTGTCAATTTCTGCAGTTTAACAAGTAAGTATTTTAATAAATACCATAAATTAAACGAAAATTTAAAGTTAAATTCACTGGTTGCTGCTGATTGTGCTCTCAATGTACCTTGTTAACAACACTTTTATTGGTAGGAATGGCTACAAATCATGTTATTCTTATCTCCTCTATTTGTGACTTTTTGGAAAACGACAATAGAATAATTAAAAGGGGTGCAACTGCGCTGCACTCAAATAATGTTGAAAAAATTAAATACGATTCAACACTGAGTATCAATAGAGGAGAAGTCCATGCGAGCATGAAGGACAAAGTGTACAAAGTAGAGGTAAGGAACAACTTAGTTAGGTAATGTATGTAGGTACCTACTTAACTGGCAAAAGCAAAATTAATTTATTGCAGTTCAATCTTGATAACCCTACCTGCTCTAGAGGAATGCGATGCCATCCTGGCAAAGGAATGTCTGTGGAATAAACCAACGACCAAAGAAGAAACGGAGGTAAAAACTGCAGATGATTTGTACCCTCCATCAAAGTTATTTACAGCAGTTGAGAAGAAAATATCGGAGACAGATATTAAGCCCTGCAACAAACGTTGAGTGATTTTGGTGTTACAGTTGGGTTTAGTTGGTTACTAAGGAAGGATGAGCCCATCAGTAGAGACGGTTTTGACGTGGACATCCCATTAATTGAAGACATTATTACTTCTGAAGACTTCCTTAAATCTTCAAATAAAATAAAATTTGTGAAACAGAAATGTGTTATTGATACTGGCAAGATTGAGGCTATAGCTAAAATTACTACAGGCCAAACTGACAACGAAAAATGGTTCTTAATCAGAAAATGCAGGCTTACAGCTAGCCACTTTGAAGGTTCCCAGAGAGCTTGTTTAAATCTCTTATGAGTAAGTTTAATGTCACTTATTATCTTTTACTTTTTTTATAACATATTTATACTTTTGTTTTAGGTACTTATTCATTGGACGGGATAAAATCTATCCAATGGGGGAAGACTCATGAAAGGGATGTCTTAAATTATTTGAAAAATAATTTAAACATCAATGCTGTGCCAACAAGAATTTGGATGTCTAAATCACGACTCTTTGGAGTTTCTAGTTCTCAGTTCTAGACACAGTTAGAGAGGTTCTTGCTAAAGACGACAAAAAAAGAGCCGGTTTGCAATGAAAGTAAGCTTATAGAATTGTAGTAGTCAGAACAACTATGTAAACAGATAAATTATAATAACCTAGCTTTGACTAAAAATTAAATGATTGTCTTATGTTGTTCGTTTAGAGACATTTTATTTCCCAGCAGTTATGTAATCAGCATTAAAAAAAATCCTTATCTGATTTTACATAGGGATAAATCTCGTATGGAAAGGCCTTCAAAATTCCCGCCCGTGATGACGTCATGACTTAGCTTAGATAATAATCTCTGAACTGACTGGCAATATTGACATAGCTGTCTGACGATGAGCAACACTTGTCGACACGCGCTGTCGCCAAATCTCCAAAATTGTCGATGCCAGCGCTCCAGAGGCGCGAGTTACACCATCAAGTTCACACAGAACCTGCCTAGTAAGCAGCAGTTCCCACAGAAACCGCTAACTAGGTTCCGCCGTACATAAATTCCTGATTAACTATAAAACTGAGACAATTCACTATGTTAACGCTTTTTTCCACAAAACTCTGTCGATGATAGAACGTCTGTAAAGTTATTTTAAATAAATTGTTTTTAAAAAATAGTTTATCTATAAAATAAACATATTTGGCGCAGTCGGTAGGATAGCACAGTATCCAGTCGGAAGTGAATCGAAACGATACTTGCGGTTTTAACCCTTAAGTGCTACCACGAATCCAGACGATTTCATCCAGAGGCCAGCAGTAGAAAATAGCCGGGAAAGGATAGCAAGCAAGTGCTAAGTAAATCCTTTTCGCCCCTATTCAAAACCCTTTGTTTGAGGAACCTGATAGGGATATTTAAATTTCAGTCTATCGAAGACGCAATTTTTAAGTTAAAAATATAT